ATATAAAATATAAGATGAAAACTTGCATGCAACTGTGATTTCAGTAATAGTTTTACACATGTAGAACAGGAAGAGGTCAACACCAAACAAAAGGAAGATTTGGAGAATTGCCGTCATGTTGTCAGGAAACATCCCAAATAGGCAGATTAAAAAAATACAGGCAAATGAATTCAAATCAATAGAGAATAGTACACTGAAGATTTCCTTAGAATCAGAGATCTACAGACTACTTCTACTATTCAATATCCCAAGAAAAGTGATGCTTCGATTTACTTTAGGTGCTAATTATACGACCTTGGTCTCATTTTTTTCTTATTTCTTGGAAGTAACCCATGAATCAAGATTTTATGAAAGAAATAGTGAATTTTCAATTTCAATAATGTGTCAAACCTATCTTAATTCATAGGTATATACAGATATACAATTCAAAGTTTATCAAACTTTCTGCTAATGTTTTATTCAATATAAGAGAAGTTTACATAATGTGTTGATGAAATAAAGCAAATGAAATGAGATAACCGAACTGTAATGATCTGCCCTGTACCTTTAAGAGACAAGCCACCCCCTCCCCAAGCTGATCAGCTTCTAGTCTGAGTCTCTCTCTCTCTGCTCTTCTCCCTTTTCTCCTTCCCCTCCATAACCCACTCAATAAATATCTGACGTCACTTTGAATGGCTTGCCTATTCATGACTCTGTCTTTCACCCACCACCTGGCTCCCTGCCCAGGACCAGCCACTTTCCGAGACCTGCAGCATGGTCTCTTGTGGTGCCCATCTGTCTATCTCTCCTCCTGTGACTTGCTGCCTCTCATAGCCCACTACAGCTACTTGGGGAACTGCACTGTTCCTGCCTGGGACTGGCTGATCTCAGGACCCACTGTTCACTGCCTTCTGCTGCTCTGGGACCTGCTGCATGGTCTCATGGTCTGCTGCCTACTGCCGCCACTTGGGGACCTGCAGCACTTTTACTTAAACCATAACAATAACTAATGCTGATACACATACACACAAACACACACACACACACACACACACACACACACACACACACAGAGAGAGAGAGAGAGAGAGAGAGAGAGAGAGAGAGAGAGAGAGAGGATAAACTCGGCTCACAGATGAAAGAATTAAACTCAGCTCACAGATGAAAGAATTAGAAATAGAACACATATTCCTTACTTAGTTCTGAGACTATCTCCCAACCTTTAAGATCTGTTGGCCAGGTCTCTCACCTGAATACCTTGTCCCCTTAAGAGACAAGCCCCACCCACTCCTCCCTCCACTGCTGCCATGGCAAGCAATTTCTGAAGAGGTGGTTGCTGTCTTTCTCCCCCTACCCCCCACCGCCTTTCTCCTTTGCCACCTTCTTCTCCCCTTCCCCTTTCATAACCCACTAAATAAACTTTATACCCAAACTCTCTCTCTGCATGGCGTACCTGTCTGTCTTTCATCCGCCTTGGTCTCCCATCTGCTGACCTGCAGAGGCCTGTGGGGACCTGCAGCCAGCCCCTTGAGGGGCCGGCCTTCCCTCCATAGATCTTTAAAAAGAATAATACCAACTATATGTCTATAGAAAGGCAGCTTCTTTACAGTCTGGTAAAACAATGATATTGCAGGTTTACTTATAGAATCACATAGAAGTTATATAAAACTTGTCGAATATTTGCAAAGATACAAAATTATTCAATATTTATTTTATCCAGCATTTTTTTGTTAGATGTTTGAACCATGGACATCTTTATCAACTCTGTTAGACGAAAGGAGAAAACTTTTTGGACAGAAAAATAATCTGATTCAATTATAAATTCAGTTCTTAAATTTTAAAATAAATTTGCAATATATACATTCTCAAACTATCAATGCTCAGGATCTATATGATGTTATATAAAAGTTTGATGGCTTCAATGGTCTTGCTAGACTATCACAAATAACTATAAGCAAAATGTCTTCATCATGTGTATCGACAAGTATAATATTATTCCTTGATTTCAGTTATGAAAGTAAAGAGCCCTGTCTACTAATACATTGGAAAATCTAATTGTGTTTCATGGTGAAATTTATTCATTAATTTTATTAAGGAAGCACATGATTTATAATACATTCATTGCTCATAGATCCCATAAGTGATAATTACTGCTGTGACAATTAAATAGATATTGAAGTAACTAACAACCAAAGTCAATAGTCAATATTGTAAGGAATAATAAGATTCATAGTCTCTCTATATAGAACAGTTGGCAATTTCAGAAAAAAAATAAAATACTTTGTTTAAAGGCTTCATCTTTTTCTCTATTTGTAGAAAACAAATCTTGCTCGGATTTGGAGTAGACAAGAGATCCAAGATCTGTTGGGTGAGCTGTTACTTTGATTAAACATTTGGGTGCTTTCCTTCTTTTCTTCTTTTAATAATTAATAGAGTTCAGTATAGTCCTGACAACATACACTTAGAATTCTAACATTCAGAGAGTCTGAGGCTGGAGAATTACTAATTGAAAACCGACCAGAGTATAGAGTAAAAGCACTGGCTTTCAAACTTCACATCCTGAGTTCAGAGCCTTATATCCCAGGTAAAAGCTTGGTGTACCTCCAAGATGCTTTCTGGACATGAGGGGATGGGGGTGTAGGTGGGGGTGGGGGCAGGAGCAGATACAGAAGAGTCTCCAGAAGCTCCTACCAGCTAGGGTCAGTAGCAGCAAAGGGATCCTGTCTCAGGTAAGATGGACAGACATAGGCCTGCCCCCAAGGTCCTTCTCGGACCTCCACACACGTGTGTACTTGCCCCTGCACCAAATAATTAACTGATTACCAAATGAAGACCCTAATTAGGAACAACAGCAGTTAACCAGAACAATAACAAAAATAACAACGAAATAATCACTACTTTACACTAAGAATGTAAAGAAATTCCTCCTTATTTTAACATTTTTTTTTATTTTCTGACTCTGGTGTTTTGAATATTTTATGTAATCAGTGTTCTAGACTAAAAATGCAGAAAGGTTCATCCTTGGAGTTCATATGAGAAACATACTTCAGGTTGGTTCCGAAGGTGATAAAAAAGCATATACACAGATTTAAGAAGCACCCACATACATGCACTGCTGAGGAGAGGGAGCCTGAACTGGCCCTATCCTATAGCCAAACTGATGAATATCTTGCATATCACCATAGAACCTTCATCTGGCGATGGATGGAGATAGAGACAGAGACCCACATTGGAGCACTGGACTGAGCTCCCAAGGTCCAAATGAGGAGCAGAAGGAGGAAGAACATGAGCAAGGAAGTCAGGACCTCGAGGGGTGCACCCACCCACTGAGACAGTGGGGTTGATCTAAAGGGAGCTCACCAAAGCCAGTTGGACTGGGACTGATGGGGCATGTGATCACACCAGACTCTCTGAACGTGGTGGTCAATGAGGGCTGACTGAGAAGCCAAGGACAATGGCACTGGGTTTTGATCCTACATCATGTACTGGCTTTGTGGGAGCCTAGTCTGTCTGGATGCTCACCTTCCTAATCCTGGATGGAGGGGGGAGGACTTGGACTTCCCACAGGGCAGGGAACCCTGACTGCCCTTTGGACTGGAGAGGGAGGGAGAGGGGGTGAGGGAAAGCGGAGGGAAATGAGAGGAGGGGAGGAGGTGGAAATTTTTAATAAAATTTTTAATAAAAAAAGAAATACAAGAAAGCTAAGAAATGTTAATCAGAGTAATTTCCAATTGTTTTTAAAGAAAGATGAAAAATCAAAACACAAATTTGCTTTTCCCTTATTCATACTTAATAACACATATAGCCAATTTTTAATTCAATTATACAGAACTTTAGAGTTTTTCCAGATTATAGCATGCATGAATATTGCATATGTAAATATAAATGATATAGGAGATCCTTTAGGATTTAGACAAAATAAAATCTGAATTTGTGTAGCTTTTGCATTCTGTCCCAAACTGTAGGAGATCTCTGCAGAGATAAAGTCAGACTTTATACTAAAATTATCTTAAAAGGATCAAACAAAACTAACATCACTGTGGATATGGCATGTGAGAACAGAGAAGGAAGATAAAAAAGAATGACAAATTCAAGATGTAATAAATCACTGTTATTACTATCTGTACCAGAGCAACAAACTAATAGTCTCATCAAAATAAAGCATAAGTGGAGAACAATAGGAAAAGAAATTCTTTAGTCCAATTTTTTCAATTTATCATATCAAACTATATTCTAAATACTAGTGATGTTCATTTATACACACATATAGAAAAAAAGTTACAAAAGAAAAGATATATGATAATGTTGCATAATAGTTCAGGAAAATTCCATCAGCTATTAGGAATAAACCTTTGAAAATTCCTTAAACTATAGAACATGATTCTTGCCAAGATTCCATTTAAACAATATTACTCTCAGCTTCTGTTCTTGCTGCTCATGCACACAGATTTAATAATTTTTGTTGTCAGGGAAAACAATTGTCTGAAAATTGTGCATCCACGAGCTATAACAAATTTAGCAAACTCATTTTTATTTTCACAGATCATGTTAGGAAGAAAACTGTAAAATGTCAGATTAACATTTCAGAATGTATTTGAAAAAAAACGAAGAGAAACTGATTTAGTTAGCAACGCTAAATAAAACAGACAATTCCTACAGATACTTTCCCTGTAAGACATTAAGTAAACAGTGAAAATGGCAGCCATTTTAATTTAATAAAACTACCCTTAACTTACTTCTCTGGCTGAGTAAAGTTTCTGTTTGACAAGACCCCCGGTGTTTTAGGCGAATATTTTTCTGGTCAAAAATATCTGTAATTTTAGAAGCCGTTGATATTAAATGGAATTACCAGTGAGTTTTCTTACTGCCTCTTGCCTCTTTCCTTCCTGTCCAAATGCTGAACTCTATCAGCCTGAATAAGAAACTTTACTTTTGTCCTCACTTTGTCAACATCAAGTACAAATACTTGGGATGCTTCAGTTGGATTGACAAAAGGGCTAACACAGGGACACTTGACTTACTTGCCACTGTTTCATCAGCTCTCGGACTCCCTTGGAGCCTTCTAGGAGTTTCTCCTTCCGGGAAGCATCCTGGAGGACATTGGCAGTTGTTTCAGCTTCTGTAATCCAGGAAAGAAACTTCTCCAGGTCCAGGGGGAACTGTTGTAGTAACCTATGAGTTTCTTCCAAAGCAGCCTCTCTCTCACTCACTCTGTAAAGGACAAGCAGGCAGATGGGATTCACTATTATCAGAATGGTATATGCAAGGAACTCAGTAAAATGATCAAGGACGGTATGCTGCTGAAGCTCTCCAGTTAACCCACAACCAAAATGCCATGCTCTTCGTTTAATATTCATTTCAATTTCATCTAAACACTTCTTGATGGAAGGCATACAAGTGGAGCTATTAAAAATAAACAGCAATGTGCTGGGGCTGGGGATCAATGGTAGAGTGTTTGCCTCCTAAATTCAAGGCCCTAGGTTTCTAGGTTTAATCCCTGGACCCTCCATCAAAGATGAATCATAAAAATTCCTCTAGAAATGGCCACACACATACCAGATAGATAGATAAATAATAGATAGATAGACAGATCAAGAGAGAGACACTTAAAATTTTTGTTCATAAACACTCCAAAATACCTTTCTTTCAACTTTAAGTTTGTGCTGGGCAATGGGAAAACTTATTTTGAGATGCCACAGAATTTGACATTAAATTTCATATGCAAAACCTTAAATTCCCTTGCCATACATATCTTTGATATCAAACTGAGTCAAGAAGCAAGGATTAAATAAAGTAACAAGTAAAGAAGACACAGATGGCGAGTTGGGAGGTGACTACTGAAGGAGCTAGTGAAGAGACAGATTGACCGGTGAAGGGACAAAAAGACTAAGAAGAAAGCGTTTCACGGAAAGAGTTGTGCAAACTGTCATCCTGCCACACACTAGCTTATTCAAAGTATTTTGTTAGGTTCACACTGTGCTCTCTGTTGGTCATAGGCCAAAGATATTATCAAAAAGAAAAATGCTACACCAAGTTGAAAAAGTTGAAGCTTACTAATCAGACAGTGACTCAGTTCCCAATATCTTTTCCCAGTTGTGTGATATGGCTTGTTACTAACTCATCACTCTTCTACTGCTATGATGAACAAACTTCACACATTATGACTGCTTATGATTGTTAATAACAATGTTAGTTCCTCTGCCTACACCTCATTTTCTAATTTCCAAGTTGTTTTTAAAAACTGGAAGAAACAAAAATCCCTTATGAGAATTTTTTAAATCATAATTTCCAATTATATATGTATAATATATATACACACTCATATATATATATATGTATATATATATATATATATTGCATATTATGTGGATATACATACAAACACCCTGAGCAAAGATGTGTATAATAATAGCTCAGGAGGGAAAATTGCCTTAAGCAGTAACAGTCCCATCTAAAAAGATTCAGGTAAATTTTGTCTGCAATGGGGAAATTAGTACTCTATTTAAATGCCTTATTTGCCTTCTACCACTACACAAACACTTGCTGGGATTAAATATAAGCTCAAAATGGATTTCAAAAAATTGAACACTTGAATATGATACATACTGCTTGTTAAGATGTGATTGTCAATAATTATGCAAAACTGCAATTTATTTTAGCAGCAACTTTATCAAGGGATGTGCAAAGCAGGCAATGAACAAGGCCTGCCGAGGCGGCGGCAGTGCAGTGAAGTCCCCAGAAGAGCTGTGTGCTCATCACGGGGGAGGTTCTGCTGAGCACACAGTCTTTCACAGTGTGGTCTCAGTGCTCAGACTGGATGGAAATCTTCCCGCTGTGCTCTGTGCTAAGGGCTAGAGAAGAGAGTAGGTTTATGAGGGTGCCGCTATTGGAAAAACATGAGCACTGCACTAAGCTATTTATCAACTCCTAAATAAATGTTAATACTCCACAAGTAAAAGGTACCCTGGGGTTCTGGTTGGGCACGGTAGTGAAATCTGGAACAGCTGCAGGGCTAACTGGGACCGCCAGTTTCCCTCATTTGTAGGGAAGATGTTTTCTGTGCCATTGTTGCAGCTCGAGGACCCTGAATGGGAAAGTTGGGCTTGTAACACAGAGGGAAGCTCTTGAGCAAATACTGACAATCCACTGACACGGACTTGCCAAAGAGACAGTTTCTTGCAGTTTAAACTAAGAGTTATTCCACCCCCAGCCTAAAACTCATCCTAGAAATAAACTGTCGCAGTCTAGAAGACAATGCCTGGCTAAGACGTTGGCTTATTGTGGAATATACTCCACTTTCAGACACAAGGAAAGGACAAACCGAAAGTCACCCACGGCAGAATGAAGCTTCAGAGATTAGAGAGTGTGAAAGTCATTCTCAGAGTCATCTTCATGCAGAGGGGCACTCTATCCGTCTTAGTCCTTCTGCCCTTCAGTGAGACACACCATTCACCTTCCGCTTCCGTAAGAAGTGACTAGTAAATAACTTTGAAAGCAGTGTGCAGGAAGTCAGATGAAAGGGCTCTATCTAGACAATGTGATTCTCAGCCAAATCCTGCCTGCAGTTTTCTGCTTTGTAAATTAGGCCCTTAGGGAAGCCGAGGAACATTTTCAGGACAGTAAGGCACCATTTTCTTCAAGGATACCCTTGTGGTCTGACATATTGACAACATCAGGAGGAATATTTCCTTATTCGGGAAATACTTTAAGAAGAAATGGAAGCAAGAGCAGAAAAATCTCTTCGAATGAGCTCTTTTCCGAAGCTGTGGGATCACAGACTCAACTGTTGTTTCCTGCTTCCGTGGGGCTTTTAATGACCTCAAACTCACTCCTAGGTTCGAGGCGTGTACAGAGTTTATTGAATTCTAAGATTTAATTGTGTCAAGTCTATCCTAGAAATAAGTCCATGGTAATTAATTTCCATATTTGTGCATTCAAATTAGATCTAAATGTGTCCCTTAGTTTTTCATTTTCCTCAACCATATGCTTTTGGATAGCTTCTGTGATAAATAAAAATATAAAAATAATGAGAATTAAAAGTCTGGCTAGGAAAAAGAGACTACAAATGTGGCTTATTTTAAAGTTTCTCTATTTAGGACATACAATCCTACGGACCCTGAAGACAATTTCACTGGATTTTAAAGGGAATAATGAGTATGTATAAGAAATTTCAAGAAGGCTTTTAAACTGTCATCTAGTATATTAAATTCTTTCTATATAATAAAGCTTAATTATCACTATTCCAAGTTTATAATGCATGAAAAGAGCTAAGAATTTAATCTCACTGGATAAAGAATTCATGATATCTAAAAGATTACCTTCTAGTGCTAAGACCTGTTCTCTGAGTCCATAAATAAGGGTGGTTACAACAGTGGTTTCAAAATATGGTTCATGGACCAGCAGTCCCAGCAGCCACATCTGAGAACTTACTAGAAATTCAAATTCTCAGGCCTCAGGCTAGCTCTACTGAAAGAGGAACTCAGTGGGTGGAGCCCAAGCAACTGTGTTTGAGCAAGCCTTCCAGGCGTCTCAAACACATGTGAAAGTTTGAAAAACCACTTCTACTGGGGCTGAAACTTTGAGAAGTACTGTTTGGGCAATGCTGGAGTATGCTGTTCCAATCTCTGACTGGGAGTTCTGCTGGCTGAAGGTTCTCGTGTGTCAGCATTATTTGAGGCTAGAACAGAATTAAATGAGCCTCCTTCTCCAAAGTTGCTCTGCTCATCCCCGAAGCAGGCAGAAGCCATTGTGAGACCAAAACAGGAAAAAGAGCAATTCACTAGGCAAGTTAATGAGAAACCAAAACAGGAAAAGTATACCTTGCAGGTTAAGTGTTCTGTTTGCAACTAAGACAATTAAGAAGAACTTCCCACCTGTCCTATGTTTGTCGGAGCCATCTGCATTAGATATGCTTGACCACACATGGGCAGGAGGTATATGGGCAGAAAATTTGTCAGGATGTACCCCTGCCCTTGATTGCATAGGCAGAAATACACAGTCAGGATGTAAGTCAGGAGATATGCTTGCCCTGACTGGACCTGATTGAAAATATGGTAGCCTTGTGGTTGTGTGGGAAGTTCATCTGTATATGATGAACATGAGGTAGACGCTGGTTCCTCATTTGGGGTGGGGTGGGGTTTAGATGATTGTTAGCAGTAACACTCACGCAGCCTGGCTTCTGGTTCTGCCTATACTGCTTATGCTTACTTTACTTCCACAACCAGTGCGAAGCCAGAACACATTTCTCAGTAAAATTCCAGACATTAAGTACTTTCTTAGAATCTGTTTTCTCAAAAACTGAATTTATGGGGAGAACTAAACACTTTCTCATACAGATTACTGTAGTGATATTTCTTTTGTGTTTTAATAAATAAAGCTTGCTTGAAGATCAGAGAGCAAAACAGCCACTCTGGTCAGCCTTACCGACCATGATATCACACACCTTTAATCCCAATAGCCACACAAGTTTGCCATAGAAACCAGGGGGTAGTGGTGCACGACTTTAATCCCAGCACTAGAAAGGAATATAAAATGGGAGGAGACAGTTCTCAAGCTCATTCTGAGGATTCCTGGGGGCAGAATCTCAATTTCAGACTGAGGGAGAGGTAATAGCCAGTGACTAGCTGTTTTGCTTTTCTGTCCTTCAGGTTGAACCTCAATATCTATCTCTGGATTTTTATTAATCTTGCAAATTGTGATCTCCAAAAGAGACAATGGGGTTCTGAAATATCAGCTAATAAAAAGAGTGTTTGAGGGGGATTGTGGATCTATAAAACAGTGCAAAATTACATAAGCTCAAGAAGATGCTTATCCAGTCCCAACTCGGAGAAAAGGTGACAAATCACAAAAACATGTCCCTCCATAGCCATTAACATATATATATATATATATATATATATATGATTATCAATAAGGAAATAATATACCATCTGTCATTTTATACATACACACACAAGTATGTGCACATGTGTGTGTGCACGCATATACACACACATTACTATATGTGAATAATTTTCTAAGCCTCCATGCTTTTTCTGAAGCTGAAATTGCAATTTAATGTGGGATAATCATAATACATAAAAACTAAGGACAATGGAAGGGGGACTTTTATTTTCTAAGGTAAGGCTGAAGATTTTAGTATGTATTAGAAATACGGAGGGAAAAACTTTCTCAATGAATTATATTACTAGATTAAAAGTATGTGTAATTGA